GCTCGCGGTGCGCGCGCGGGTTGGCGCGGGTTGGCCTTTGCTTTTCGCTAGAGCTAGCGCAGGTATGCAAATAACATCCATTAGGCGGGGGATCAACTAGGCAGGCCCCCCTCCCTCCCCGCCCCGGTCGAACTCCCGCGGGCTGAGGCGGCGCCGGGAGCAGCCAGCGTTCTGAACCGTCACGAAGATTATTAGAAGGCGCCGCCCGACTTAAACTGTGCCGCTCCTCCCGGCCTCAAGTAGATCGAGACGACGAGGTAAGGGGGAAGGGGGGCTGCGGTGTGGATCTCGGGCCATGGCAAGGCCCCATCGCGAGGGGCTGGTATACTTCGGGGAGAAACATCCTTTCGTGTCCGTGATGCGTCCACTCCTCTTTGATTTCCTCTGCCCCCGGCTGCGCCCGGCTGGCTCGCCTCCCCCTCCCTTTTTCTATTCGGGCCGCGTAGCTCTCTGCAGCTCTGCTTGTTCAGTTCGAACTCAAACACGCCGCACGTCATTTGCAAGCGAAAGATTTTGTTCCCACAATGGCTGACACGGACGGGAGCAGAAAGGTGAAGAGAGGGGCAAAAACAAAAGGGAAACTTGTCTCGGCCAGGTATAAGGGAAGGGAAAGTTCAGTGGCGCGGGGCAGCCGCGGGGGATGCGCGGGGCGCGCGGGGGTGCCGAAGGGAGAAAGAGAGCGGCGTGCCAAGTGAAAAGACGAGCGCGAGTTTGCTCATCCCCGACCCTGCCCTCCTCCTGGGCTGGGCAAGCCACGTGAAACATTGAGATTTCGGAGCATTATTTCATTCCGAAAGAAAGATCGTAGTCTAGAACGGGAATAGATGGACGGGGTGGGGGTGAGGGGGTGAGGGGGGGCTGAACTGGCAATGCTTTATTTTCTTCGTATCTCGTATTGGCTGTGGGTATACGCCACATGACCATAGCCGCAGCTAGTCCCGCAATGGCTAGTTTGTCAATTCGCAGAAGTTTGGGTAGTTTGAAGGATTGCTGGTCGGCAGCCGTCGTCCGAGGGGCAAGAACTCTGGGAATCGTGTGTACACCTGACGGGGAATCATTAGGATAAACATTGATCGAAATCAACAGAAATCGCTTAAACTAAGCGGGAAACTATAGTGGAACTGGTACAATTTAGTCGAAATGAGCGTTTTCTAACAGTAGAAAACCTGAGGAATAAATACTACAGGTGTACGGGAATCACTGGGAATCAAGAAGTTCGGGAATCATGTGTATACACATCAAAAGGGAGTTATTGCCCCCTCGCCGTGCCGTCGTCTCTATGGCGGACTCGACATGAGGTTACGCCCCATGCGCGCGCGCATTGAAACAAGGAAATCGCGAATAGACGGACAAAAAGTTTGCAGTATTGGCGTTGTATTCTCCCTGACCAGTATCGGGTCCGTTCGCTACTTACCGTAATTATGCAGCTCCGACTAGTCAAAGAGGTGCAAATAATTAAACGACGCGACCGACGCCAGCGGAGCGATATTCGCTGGCGGTCCCCGTTTCGTTTCGACGCGGGAGGTACTTTCCATTCCCTGGCGCTGGCGCTGGCGCTGGCGCTGCCGGGGGGATTGAATGACGTGTGTGTCCCATTGTTTGTTGCAGCGCGTCGCCCGGGCTCGGCTGGCAAGCGCCACAGCGGTACAATCAGCCCTTCAATTTTTGTCTTTGATGTCCTCCTCTCGACCACCCCCAAAGCCCCGCCCCGCCCCGCTCCGCAGCGCCACCCCCTCCCCACTCCTCACCGCGCCCACGCCGCTTCCCTCCCACCGACTGTTGTTATTTGCATCGCCTTCCCCCTCGTGTGGGGCTTTGCACAACCTATGCCCCACCCCCCCCCCTCTCGCCGTGCCTCTCCAACAAGTATCCCCCCCCCCTCCCCTCTCATCTCTCTCCCCTATCCCTATTCCTTGCTGCTTTTAAGTTTCATCATTTGGTATTGTGCTTCCTGGAGGGCTGTTGTTGGAGTCGAGTGGCTCCTCTCACGCGGTGGTCTCCGCGCGCTCAGCTGCTACTCGCCGCGCTTCCCACAATCAACGCTGTAGTGGTATTTTATCTCAGTCTTCGTCTTCCGCGAAGCAGACTTGGTGCCCGTGTTGTGGCTCCAGCCCGACTGGAAGCCCGGGGGCTGGGCGAGCCGACCCCTTATCAGCATTATCATAAATATGATTTCGCTCGGAAATAACCTGATCCGAAAGCCCTCCTGCGGGCCCGCCCGTCCCGGCTGTTAATAAATGCACGGTGGCCTGATGGGGACTATAGCCTTTGCTCATGCATTGGGCAGGCAGGGGAGGTTTTGTACACCACTGTCTCTGTCTTATTACGATACGTAGTATTTTCGTATGATCACGCACATGAAAAGGAAATGGTCCCCCTTCAGCCGCCGCTATTTTCTTTTTGTAGTAGTACATATCGTTTATTGCTGAGCTTAACTTGAACTTGAAATTAAACTTAAACTTTAAATGCTCAGCTCTGTCAGGAAGCGCAAGGGGAGACCGCCCGGAACACGGCGTGAAGTGAGGCGCCTGGCTTGAGACGTGGGATGTGAGGTGGACAGGCATGCCAACCAAAATCGCGAAAACATTTTAAATTTAGCGCGCCGCAGGCCAAGGTAGACGCACATTTAGCTCAGCTTCACACGGTTTTAACGTGCGTCTACCTTGTACAGATGTCTGGAAAGTTCCGTGGACGTGTCTGGTATGTTCTCAGCATTCATTTGGTGCGCGCAGTTTCGGACTTGCGGCGGGTCGATGAGGCGTTAAAATGGAGGCTGAATGCAGCCGTTGTGCTGGCCGGGCCGGCCGGGCCGGGCGGGCTGGTCAGCCGGAACACATCGGGCGGCCGCGCGGCCCGCTGCGCTAGCGCTGCGCCCGCCACATCGCAGCTCATGCATGTCGCCCTATTGCCTATTGCTCCGCACCGCTCCGCACCGCGCGGCTCTGTGTCACAACGACCGGACGCACATGAACCGCGTGACCGTGGTGCGAGGGGGGGGGGGGGTGTATATTTGCACGGCCATGAATGCACCCTCTGGTGCTGGCGCAGAGCGCTGTGAGGTGGCGCCACACTCTGGTGGCACCGCGACTCTGTGGCGTTTCGCGAGAAACAACATTTGCGCGGAGTTTTAAAAGTTTTGCAAATTTTCTTTGTATGCGAAAATTGAGCGTTGGAACAACGCATTGTTGCATCGCGTCCCCGCGGCATCACTGGTAAAACAGGTGTTTCGTTTGGCACGTCAATTGATTTTTTAGTTCAAGTGTGCATTTTCTCGAC